TTTAAATATTTTTTAATTTTAATTTTGATTCGAAAACAATTCTAAGATACCAATCGCTATTTAGCTATACCAATAATCAGTTCCTGTGTACTATTAGGTGCAGGATCAGGAATTTAGAAAGTTTTGAAGATTTTTAGAACAAAAAAATTCTTTTCATTTTTAGAATTTATATTTACATTAAAATTTACAAATATTTACATTCTCAGATTCTAGATTCCCGCATGTGTGTGACGCATGATTCAAATTCAAAATTTGATTTGTTTTTGCTGAATACTACCTGTAACACACTCTAAATATGTTTATAAAGCAACAATCGAAGAACTAATCACAACGTATCCACAATGCATTATGATGTAAATGATTTTCAATCTGTGATTGAGCACTAAACACATTTATTTCAATTTTCGTGTAACCAATTAAAGTATATATACAGTGGGTATACGGTGACTTTTTGTAAAATATCTGATATATACAGTAGGTATACGGTGACTTTTTAAAATCATGGATTTAAAAAAGAAAAGGACAACATATATTTATTGCTACGGGAATAATTTTGATATTTTGAATAAATGGTTTGGTAATAATATTTTTAAATGTAAGATTCAGAGTAAAAGACATCTTAAAAATTTTTTTAAAAAACAGCATGATATTATACGTATTCATATTAGTGAGGAACATAAATATATAACTGAAAATTTTTTTAACACCTTAAAAAACAAAAAACCAGAACTAGTTATTATAACATCTAAACTTACGTTTGATAAATTAAAAATAGGAGTTGATAAATCATACATGGATTATATTATTAATATTAATGGTCATTCGTATAGTATTTATAAGGGAGATATAGAATATTTTGAATTATATTTACAAGAGATAGAAGTTATTGCGAAAGAAAAAAGAGAAAAGAAGATAAAAATGAACCAAAAAATAAAAGAGGTAAAGAAAGAGATAATCAGAATAAAGAATAAATTGGAGAATGGCAAAAATTATAAAATAAATGAAGATGATGAAAACAAAGATAGTGTAAGTGAAGATGATGAATGTGTAGATAAAAGTGAAGATTATATGAATGATGATTATATGAATGAAGTCTATTAAAGTGAAGATGGGAGTAAAGACGAAGAAAGTGAACACGAAGTAATTGAAAATAAAACGAGCGAAGGTGAAGTGATGATATCATAATTATTGGATCCACTTGAAAAAAATTTTGAACTACAATATTTCGAGACCTAATGGATGCATATCTTCGAATTTTAAATGTTATAAAACTTATATTATAAAAATAAATCTAAATTTGAATATCAGTTTATATATAACTTTTGAAAAAAATTTAAATTGATTTTTTTATGGTGCAATATTTCTGACAATCATTTCCATTTCACCGACGTCACATCAAGTGACAATTTATCAAAAATATATACCTGTGACTAATCAAAATGCTAACCCTAACCCCATGTGATGTCGGTGAAATGATTGTCAGTAAAATAATTGGGACATCTAAAATTTATTGCGGTTTGTGAAATTTGAAGATCATTAAAAAAAAAAGTAATCACTCATTTCTGATTCTTCAACATTTTTTTTTGACTTTTAATTAGACAAAATTTGCGTATCTATTGTTTTGTAAAAAATTTTAAATTTTTTTTTATAGAAATAAAAGTTGCTTATTCATCATTTGTAATATATTTGCAAAAAATAGGAGTTGCGCATTAAAACATCCAATCACATTTTTACAAATGATAAATGCGCAAATTTTGTCTAGTCTAAAAGTCAAAAAAAAAATTGTTGAAGAAATCGGAAATAGTGATTACTTTTTTTTATTGATCTTCAAATTTCACATAATTTTGCAAACCTCCAATATTATCATATCGATGGCAGGGACCTGTGAAATCTGTGATATAATTTAGCAATTATGTTTCCGATATCAGTAAATTATTTGATTTACTGCTGATTAATAATAACGATAAAAAATACAGATTTAATTATGGTTACTTATCTGTACAAAATTTTAAAAATTTATCTAGTAAAATCTTACGGTTTTAAGGGTAGGGTGAACGTAGATCAATTTAATAGTAATCACGTTGCAAATCATATGATATCATATGATTTACATTGATTTGACCAATCAAAATTGTAAACAATAGAAATCTGCTCAATAAGAATTGGCAATTTTTGTGTTACTTGAGTATATTTCAATCTTCCTGAGTGAATTTAATGATATATAGAAGTAGATTTTTTTTAAATGATATAAGGACCAAAAAGTATATTATTATAAAGAAAAAGATTTAATCTATATATTATGAAGTTTTGGTAAAGTTTAATTGTGGCCTTAAAAACTTTTACTAATAATATATGCTTAATTTTTGCATAAAAAATTTTTAGTATATAAGATTATATGACAAATGATTTACATTCACCCTACCCTTAAAAAATGTTGTGCTAAATTTCATTCTAGAATGTTTACATTTTACAATTATTATAAAGATGTTTGTTGTCATGTCCAAACTGCTATTATAGCTTTGTTTTCTTGATAATATTATTTATTTTTAAAAAAATTATACATTTTCATATATTATTATATATTTAATATAACAAATTCTGGACATAATGAACTCAAAATTTTAAATTTTATAATAGTTCAGTATAGAAAATGCTATGGGTTCTTTAACCTTTTTTTCTAATATTTTGTTGTAGAAAAAGTTGACTAATTTAGTTTGTTTGCTAAACAAATACTATTTTATTGCAATTTATTATACTTCACTAAACTAAATACATAATTTTAGAGGTGTAGTAACTTGGTGTAGTTAATAAGTTGTCACACACCCAAGCAGTAGGACAAGAGTTCAAATTCTATTAGCGATTAAATTCGAATTTGCGAAAATGTGTTACAGTAAAACTATATGACATATCGATCAGGTTAGCATCTGTAACCTTGGTCTTACCAACTTGTATTGGGAGGTTGTGAAATATAGTATAATTAGTGTTACAAGCCAGCTAGGGCAGCCATGGATAAAATGGCTTAGCCGGCTAAGCCAGCTGATACAAATGTATCGGCTGGCTAATATGGCTAAGGGTATACTATTTACGTGATAAGTATATATATAATAATGAATGAATTAAATCGAACGCAGATCTATATCCAAGCCTTAACTATTGATGAAACGTTTGCTGAAGGCATGTGCTAAAAGTCTTTTTACTTCATATTTGCTTTCTTTATATATAAACTAAATCTTACTGAAATACTTCCCGATCTTTGAAAGATCGTCATATTTTAGAAACATTAAAGCATTTTTTGTCAGAAAATCAAAGAATTATCGACTATGATTTTTATTTGAAAGTTAAGTTCTATATTCAATAAGCTAAGCAAATAAATGCTTCTTTTAATAATCTATATGAAATGTTTTATTAAAATTTTCATTGAATATATTTTTAAACCCTATTCGGTCTACCTGAGAAAGTTCAAAGTTTAAACTATTCTAGAAAAAACTCTATAGCACTTTATATAATGTTCTATACATTTATCAATTTTATTGTTCTAACGATTACTTATTTAAACTATCTAAAATTCAAAATTTTTTTTTCATTAATAGAAATGCTGTAAAAAAGCCAAGACTTTCGTGTTCTAAGCTATTTTCTTCTTGCGATTGTTTTGTAAAGTATGTGTGAATTTTAAATTTAAGTCAAACCCGGGTATACATTACAAATTTTGGAGTTTTCCTTAAGAAATAATATATCATAAACTGTGTCAGGGTCTAGTTGATTTCTCTTATCAGTAATCGTATTGCCTGTATTCGAAAAGACTCTTTCTGAAGGAACCGATGTGGCTGGAAAAGCCAAATATTTTCTTGCCAATTGAGAAAGAAAAGGAAATAGTGCTTTATGTTCATTCCACCAGGTTAATGGATTAACCTTACTATATTCTTCATCCCTAATATGATATTTAGAGATTTGGGGCAAATTATCATAAAGAGCTACTTCTTCCACAACTGAGGATAAATTTTCATTTTCAACTAAGACGTTATTATCATCATCATAAAATGAAGTAAAAAAAGAAGAATTAGTGTTTAATAGTTCTGTTTCTTGAATAGAAGTTGACTGTTCCTGGTTATTATATAAAGTATAAAGATAAGTAAGAGTTTCATTTTTTTTAATAGAAGTTATGTAACTCATTTTTTTAAATCTTGGATATAAAAAAAAAGCTATAAGACTATTAAGTGACGGTTCAAACCATCTTGATAGCATTGATTCATTAATTTTACTGCAACAAGCTCTTACTATTATCGATGTAATTGTTGGATAAAAATCTCGTAAGTGATGTGAAAGCTTAATCAAAGTAGATATCATCATTTCTAAGGTAGAATATTGATTTTCTCCAATATATCCTGTTGCTTGTGCAAAAGGATGCAAAAGTTTTGCTAATTCATCTAATGAATTCCATTCCTCAGTTGACAAAAGAAGCTCTAAAACTTTTAATTCATCTTGCCTTTCTTGTCGATTAACGCTTTGCTTTAAATTATCAGTTAACTGTATAATAGCATTACGAAGAAGAAGAAGATTTTTTAAAAGGTTGTAAGTTGAACTCCAATGAGTTTTAGTATCACTTGAAAGAGGATTAACTGGATGCTGTGGATTTAATTCAGCTTGATATTTATCCTAATTTACAAAATTATTTAACATTTTTGCTTTATTAATTAAATCGCTAACTTCTTTAATATTAAATCCATCACCTAATGCAAGCTGAATTGAATATGCTGTGCATCCAATGCGTAGAATTATAAAGTTATTAAAATTTATATAATTTTATGTAAGTATAAAATTTTATTGAGGTATCATATATCAAACATTATATTAAATTCAATAGTAAAGATTTTTATCAATTATTTTTAATAACAAAAGTTTATAAATCTTAAATTTATATATAGTTCTTGGTGAAGATATACTATAATACAACAGAGCGAACTCTATATGGTGAATTAGTAGAATCTGCTACGTAAATCACATAAGGGTGAAATTCACTTTTATAGAATAAAAAACATAGCTAAGCACAGATTTCACCTTAGCATGATTTATGTAGTGAAGTTTACTAATTTACAACGTGGATTCACCCAGTTCTATTATAATTTGTAGATTTAATATTTTTTTTTTTTTAAAAAAAAAAAATTTTAAATTTATATATTTTTGTTATAATTAACAAAAATCTTACTATAACATTTAAATTTTATATTATTATAAAAAACTTGTACAAAATTTTATACAATATAAGAATGTAATGTTATAATATAGCCTTACCTATATGCTCAACGTCAAGCTGCTTCATTGCTTTAGTCATCAAAGAAGCATTATCTGTTGAAGCTCCAAAAAGTTTATTATATATACCCCACTGGTCAAAAAGATGTCAACAGAAGTCTTTAATCCGATCACCTGTATGAGGGTAATCGAACTTTTGGATTGTAAGAAGAGCTTGGTATAAAGTAAATTCAGGACCGATCCAATGAATAGTTACAGCAATATAGGGTTGATGAAATTGAGACCACAGATCCGTCGTAAAGCAAAAAGAATCCATTGTAGTTTGTAATAGATTTTTAAGTTGTTGTTCCGCAAAAAGTACTGATTGCATTAATTTTTCTTTTAACTGATCAATGTATGGAAACATAAATCTTGGCTCACATTCAAGAATCATATCCCGAAAATAATTGTTGGTAGTAGCATAAAATGATTGAAGATCGTCTACAATCCAGGCTAAAATACGGTTTGTAATTTTATCTTGTTTTGAAGATGATAAGGGTGTTTTTTTATTTAAAAAGTCATGTAATGATGATTGATTTGAAGCTACATTAATTATTTGGTTATTTTTGTTATTTGTTTCAGGAGGCAAAATTCTATGAATTTGACGTAAGTGGGATTTTAAGTTTCCCATTCCAGTTGATAACTCATATTCTTGATTACAGACATCTTCGTTACCATCTTCATTTGTAGTTTTAACCTATGCATTATACTTAGTGTTACAAGCCAATTGATTTTTATCGGCTGGCTTAGCCAGCCGATAAAAATATCGGCTAAGTGGCTAATAATGGCTAATAATGGCTAATATAATACATATCTATAAAGCACATTTAAGCTTTAAATTTGCATTCGCAATATGTGCATACATATTACTTTTGCACGTTTGTAACTTTTAATAAGCTAACTTCAGAAATTGATTTATTATAGCATATGTAATTTTAAGAACATGAATACTATTTGCTAAACTCTCAAGAACCTTATATTTATTATATTTATTTTTAAGATTCAGTTATTCTTTAATAAAATGAGTTTTAGTAAAAATTATAATTTCTTATTGGTTAATTGTTATATTAAAGAAATTGAATTCTACTATCACTTGAGTTTAGAATTCTATTATTACTTAAGTTTAGAATTCTACGTATTATCGCTCATGTTTGAAATTCTATTATCGCTCAAGTTTGGAATTCTATTGAAACTTAAATTATTCTAAACCATAACAATAATGAAATCGTCAGGATAAAAAATCAACTCCACAAATACAAGTTGTTAGAATCGTACTTACATTAAGAAATAACTAAGTAAAATAAATCATAAAATAAAAGACAATGAACTATACTTGCTAATTAGTCGCTATTCTATTCAAAGGTCAAGAGCTAAATTTTGTATAGCTTTTACTGTTTCAAGTTTTGCATACTCGAAGCCAATACTACTAATATAATGAATAATAAAAATAATAAAGATAAGCAGATGCAAGTATATGTACTGCTATTGTTTATGAGTAATATAATTATTGCGCCATATTAACTTTTTTTCTTGACATTCAGAATACCAAGGGACGTCTACTGATCTCTTCTAGACCATCTGAATTAGAAGTTTGTAACACTATTAATTAATATCGAAGTACTGTTAATAGTCTATAAAGTATATACTGGGGTTTGGATAAACTTTGCAAAAGCACAGAGTAGATAATAGTAATGGAAATAAAAAACTACAAGTACTTGGCCATGGCCTAGGCATAAGTTACTGAAAATCTAGGTGATATATATATAAGATATAGACTGCTCTAGTAGGTTTACTATGAGGATAAAGTAGTTTTAAGAAGCCTTAGTAATAGTTCTTCTTTAAAGAGAATATCTGAGGTGCTAAGTTGATCAGATGGTGGGGTAGGGCTCTATAGCTTAGTGGTCTAAGTGCCTACCCCCCACAGCCAAGGTCTTCGGTTCAAGTCTTACTGGAAGCGGTTTCTAGTAGTATTTAAGAATGCAAAACCCTGTGGA